CACCCAAGTGCCCCTCTCTTTTTATTGATGTTTCCCCAGCCTGAGCTTTGCTTCAAGAAGGGGCTTTGGACCAGCCCTGTAGTCAGCTCCTTGCTAGTTCCCATCTGATTTCCTTTCTTCTTCCTCAGAATTTAGAAGAACACGAAAGCATCATCTATGCAACCACCACCCCACTGGGCTTCCATGGTGCCTGGAGGGGACTGAAAGTTGACGTCAGTCTCCAACTTGCCATGAGTACAGCCACATGGGTGTACGGCACCAGCCTCCTTCGCTGACCACTGTGTGCCAGCCAGGTGAGAGAGTTCTTGGCCTTGGGAGACCATAGCTATGTCTTCAGGGCATGAAAAGCAGCAGCGCCATGACCTCAGGTCCTCTGTCTTGGTTTTTACCAACTGGCTGGAGCATGTCTCCAGAGTCCACAGAGAAATAACAGATCTGCCCACACAAGTATAGACATTTCTCAAGCACAGAGTAGCCCATGAAACAAGTACATGATTGCCCAACTTTTCCAATGTTCTTCTCAGATCTATTGATTCATGAGTCTAAATTGACAAGAAAAGTACAGTGAAAGTGAAGTGGATATGCCATCAAGTTCAAAAGGAGGGAGGCCAAGAGTCTGAAGTCAGACTGGCCTAAAGGCATAGACTATGCCATGTTCCAAAATTCAGGCCTATAGTGTCCTCCTCCAGAGCTAAGCAAATGTGAAAATATTTTTAGTGCAAGAGCTGGAGGGTTTAAGATAAAGACTTGTCCATATTTTTGGACATATCCTTGTTATAGCCCTGTTTGGTCTTAAGGTAAAATGTTAACTTTGAATATTTTGCAAAATACCCTATATATTTAACTTCTCGCCTCACCTTCCTCTACTCCAACTTTATCCAAAAGAAAAGTATGAATTGGATTTAGGGGCTGCTTGTACAATGCAACGAGTGCAGAAGGCATAATATACAAGCAGTACTCTAAAAGGAATGAAGAAATCAAGTTCTCAATGACCAAAAAGACTTCCCTTCCCACCCATCCACCTGAAATAGTTATGCTTCATGAGTGTACAGACCTATGAAAATGATCTACATTTAAATATTTTAAAGTAAGCATATTTCTCCTCCCTGACTTGCCAGAAAGAAGGCAATTAGTAACTCAGGATCAGGAGATAACCCCTCACATTGCCATGTTATAGGCTGGTGCACGCTGATTCAAAACAATGCTGTGTAACTGACAAGTTCTGAAATTAGTTTCTAGCTGCAGGACAGTCTTAATAGGAGGCAAGGCAGTTTCCCTACTCCTTAGCAAGCCAGCTTATGGGTGAAAATGACAATGGGTTAAAAGCTGGTGAAGAAATAGGAAAAGACAGAGTAGTGAATGGTTGCTTGTCAGAATGGAGGGGGGTAGAGATAGGAGTGATGGCCTTTAAACACATTCATTAATAATTTGAGGAAGGAAGTGAAGTGCAAGTTTGTGTATGATGCAATATTGTTCCAGTTGCAAAACATAATGAAGAAATGAGAGGAACTCTAGATGAATTTAAAACACAGTGTAAGGGCAATAAAGGGAGGGAGGTGGGACGGACTTCTTGTAATTGTACTGTGAGTAAATTTTATTGGTTTTTACAAAACGTTATTTCCTGAATATTTTACATTAAGGAAACACTGATTCTGCTAAAGATCTCTGCAGAGCAGGCCAGTATCAGTAAAGGAATAATAACATCCTTAAATGTTTATTCAGAATTAGAATAATTAGGAATGATTTTGGATGGAGGAAAAATGGAGTTTCTGGGTCTTAGTGAAACAATATGATAATTCTGAAACCTACCACAGGAAGACTGGGGAAAAAAGACCGTAGGAGGAGTGTTATTTCATTTAAAATTGCCTTCATACCTTTATTAACAATTTAGTAATGGAATTATGAGCTTGGGATTTAGCTAGTGAAAAAGAAATGAGACCCTGGTATGGATATTGATATTTTATTTTAGTTTTTGGATATTGATATATTTTTTAAAGATTTTATTTATTTGACAGAGAGAGAGAGGAGATGGGAGGAGAGAGAGAGCACAAGCAGAGGGAGAAGCAGGTAGAGGGAGAAGCAGACTCCCTGCTGAGCAAGGAGCCCGGTGTGGGGTTCTATTTTAGGACCCTGGAATCATGCCCTGAACTGAAGGCAGACTCCTAACCAACTGAGCCACCTAGGCATCCCTTGGATATTGATATTTTAAAGAAAGGAACAAATCTTTAAACACCAGCTTTTAGCTTCAAATTAGAGGCTCCTACTAAAGTTTCCCGTTCCAGTTTTAATCATTTGGACAAGTAAGAGACTGAGTGATAGATAGAAAATAGAATTTTCAAAACAGGAAAGCTTCAAGTCTGCCAGTTGGAGAAAGTAAGTGGACTAATATGATTCAATCCATTCATTCAACAGATATGTATTGTGGGAGTTAGAAATGAATTTCGGAGAAGAGATAAACAAGTACACAGATACATAATACTAGGCAGAAAATGATCAATGCCACGAGAAGGTACAAATAAGAACCTCCGTCTGTGAGAGAAAAAGACACATGGATGAGGCAGCATTTGGAAGGGCAGGAAGAAGGGCACTCCTAAAGGGCTAGTGGGTAAAGTGGATCAGTGTGGCTGGAGTTACAAGGGGTTAGGTAGGCTGGGCCCAGTCTCAACCCCAAGCCCTTGCCTAAGAAATCTGAGCTTTATTTTCTGGTTGTTTATAGCACTCTTTGAGACATAGAGTGTAGCTTGCTTGCTAGCTGAAGGGATGAATGAAGCCATTGAAGATTTTTTGAGCAGGCCAAGTGACAAAGTCCGATTTTTGCTTTAGGAAGATTAATTTAAGTGGCATGTGTAGGAGGAATGAGAGAGGAGAGATCTATTATAAGAGTTCCAGTCCAGGGGCAGCTGGGTGGCTCAGTTGTTAAGTGTTTGCCTTGGGCTCAGGGCATGATCCCTGGGTCCTGGGATCAAGCCCCACATCAGGCTCCCTGCTCAGTGGGAAGCCTACTTCTCACTCTCCCACACACCCCTGCTTCTGTGTTCTCTCTCTTGCTGTGTCTGTCAAGTAAATAAATAAAATCTTTTGAAAAAAGAAAAAAAGAGTTCCAGTCCAGAGCACGAGTTGACTGACATTTACTATGTTAATCCTACTGTGTGCCCAGGATTCTACCAGGATTCTACCAGACACTTCATACACATACTCTCGGTAATTATTTCATCCTGATACTAAACCTTTGGAGAAGGAAGAAGTATAGCATTTCCATTTTATTGTTAAGAAACAGGTTCAGAAAGGTTGAAGAATTTGCCCAATGCCACACATGTTAGAGTGGTAAACTAGGCTCCAGTGCAAGTCTGTCTGCTTCATAAGCTCATGCCTTTTTAAAAACAAACAAACAACCCACATGTTAACACTACTCAAGTAAGGATGGATTTAACAAGTACAATGATAGGGAATGGAATGGAAAGAAGAAAGAAACGATTTTGGCAGAAACAGAATTATGCGGCAGCTGAAAACAGCATAAGTAAAGAGATGGGAAAAAAAAAAGAGTCAGAGTCTAGCCGGGATAACAGACGAGGGCTATGAACTCGGATTTGCAAAGGAAGACAGGCAGTTCAGTTTGGGACTTCTTGTTCGACATGACAACAAAACATCCAAATAAGAGGAGATAGGTTCACTTTCTCCAACAAATGTAGTCATCACTGAGAGGGCCCCCCACAGCACACATGGAAACAGCAGTGTCACTCCTCAGCGAAAGACACAGACTAAGGCCATTCTTTCTGGTTGCTGGTACTTTGCACAGATGATTTCTCCTCCTTGGCACATTTATGCCTCCCCCTGCTGACCTTCAGGTCACTCCTCAGTGCATTTCCCAGGAAGGCCTTCCAAGTCTCTCCAGTTTCCTCATCTTAGGGCTTTTCTCTAGTGCCTCTGTCCTTTTCCTGTATCTCTCCCAGACTGAGCTGCTGGAGGGCTGGAGCTCTCTCTGAGGCTATTATTAAGTCTGACCCTCAAAAAATATTTGTTGACAGAGGGAATGATTCCTATTGTTGCCCTGGAAAACAACTACCCTGCCCTATTAAGTCACAGTTTCTTTCCTCTTAGGGAAGTGCAGTTAACAACCTCAAGACCAGGAAATCATCTTCCTCATCTCATACCAGGGTATTATTCATGCAGTTTACTCAGTGTAAAGAGTTCCCTTGAAATAAAGCTAACAGCTAGTCAAAGATTTACGAATGTCCTAGTGTCAATCAACTTTTTAGCAAGCCCCCTAATGGGCGCTGGGGAAGGGATGGGACCCGATCCTTCTATGCGCTTTCTGTTTCCAAAATACACAAGTGGTGGTTAATAGCTTCAGAATTCTTCCGTGGGAGGATCTCCCATGCTGCTCTCCTGTTGTAAACTGGGGACTAGTATCCTTTTTTTGAACGAGCTTTTGTACTCAAAAGCGAAGATTTGTGTGTGTGGCGGTGTGGCTTTCGGGTAGGGAGCACGCGGATGTTATTAGGGAAATCTCTAGTACACCTCTTGGTTCTTTTTGAATAAGGTAGTTTTGAGGCGCTCTCAACTGTCAAATTCCACTCTTATCTTTCCACAGGGAGTTCCCTCGAGCGTTAGAAGCTGTGGTAGTCCGCTTGTGGTGTGGAGCCTAATTCCCAGAAGGATTTGGGGATCTCGAGAGGGCTGGGGTTTTCCCTCATGGGGTTTCAGGGCTGCTCTGAGCCACAACTTGGAGCCGCACTTGGCTAGCGCCTGGGCTTTTATGGGGGCAAAGAGCAGGAAAGCTAGCGCTTGGGTTCGCGCCCGAACGGCCCTGCTTCGGGGAGGCTGAAGGTGGGGGTGGGGGGCGGGCGGCGACTGCAGGGACCCGGGTGGGGCGGGGGCGGGACAGGGGCGGGGCGGGGCGAGCCAGGCTGCGGACCGGGGGCGGGGCCAGGCGCGCCGCTTGCCCCAGCCTAGGCCGCGGCTGGGCTCCGCCTCGCGGGCTACGCAGGCGGCGGGGCTGCGGCACGGGCCGGGCAGCACCATGGCGGCGGCGGCGCCTGCTGCTGCGGCGGCTTCTTCCGAGGCGCCGGCGGCGACTGCGACGGCTGAGCCCGAGGCCGGGGACGAGGACAGTCGAGAAGTCCGAGTGCTGCAGAGCCTGCGGGGCAAGATCTGTAAGCCGGGGCCGGGCTGAGAGGACCCACCCGGCGGCCGGCGGGGGCCGCCGCGGGGCTGAGGGGGCGGCGGGCGCGCGGGGGTGGCGGCGCCGAGCCGGACTCGGATGGCGGGGCGGAGAGGGGACCTGGGCAGACGGGGACCGGGGCCCGTACTGGGGCCGGCGAGGCGCGCGGGGAGGGCCGGCACGGGTGAGGTTGGAAGGGGGGTGTGTTGGGGGAGTCGTCGCCTCGACGGGGCGGCGTGGGCTGGGGCTGCTCTTATCCGAGGGAGTGGAAAGCCGGGAATTTGCGTGGAGGGGGGCCCCAGGGGCGCCCGGAGCAGCGCCGGCCTGAGGGGCTCGGTTTCGGGGCGCGGCCTGGACGTGGGGACGCCCCAGCTGGGGGCGGGGGCCGGGGGCGTGAGCCGGGGGCGTGGGGAGTTTCCGGCAGCCCTGGTACGAAGGCCTCCCGGCGGTACGGGCGCCGGGGAGCGGCTCCGAGGTGGGAGCGGAGCGGTAATTACGGGAGGCGCGGCCCGAGGAGGAGGAGGAGGAGGGCGGGGAAGTGGGGCTGGCCGGAGGGGAGGGGGCTGCCTGCTTCCTGGGCTCACGAGCTTGTTGGAGGTTGAAAAAGGCGCCCCGAGCTGGAGGAAACAGGCCGTCCTGGGACTCTGGCGACCGCAGCTCCCGGTGTTCGCTAGTGAGCGCGCTGGGAGGGGCTCGGGGCCGGACACCTGTACTCGCCCCACCTCGCTGCGGCGGGGACTTGGATTGAGACAATGTGACTGACAGGGACTTAAGACAGGATGTAGTGGCTTCCTGTGAGCAGGTCTCAAAACACAGTCATCCAGCCCGCACTTAACCCACTTAATTCCTTTCTTTCTCGTGCATTTAATTGTTACTTTTGTGAGCGAGCCATATTAGTTGACTTAATATAGAATTTTTGCTCAGAAGCTCCGAGCGTTACAATAGACCATTTGAATTCAGTCATTTGGGAATTTGTTTTTAAAAACTGACTCTGAGCGTCAGAGTTAAAATTTTTTCACAGTAGTTTATTCAGGGGAAACGCCTTTTCATTTTTCTTTTTCTTTCTTTTTTTTTTTTTTTTTGCTATTTGTAAGATACATCAATAAAACATTTTTTTTGTCAAAAATCACCTTTTTTTCTTTATTCAGTATCTCAGAATGGAAATATGCTTCATCTTTCCGACAAATAACCCTTAGTAGGAGGAGTACTTTTTTACTTTATAAGAAGAAAATCGAAGTGCAATAAAATGGCTAACAATACTCTTTGTTGCACAGGATGTAAAATTTTCCTCTTCCTGAATGATGATATTATTAATTGAGCTTGGATTCTCCCCCTTTCCTCTTTTCAAGTTGCTCCCCTCTTCAAATACTGAGATTTTATTAAATCTCAGAGGCAGGCATGTTAAATTTTCTCATCTTTTTGTTCCCAGAAGTAGTCCTAAGCAACTTGAGATCTTGAGTACAGTTCTCAAAACCTGGAAGATGACATCAGAGAAATAGATCTTGTCCATATCTATGTTCCCAATATTAAAATTACTTTCTAGGTTATAAAATCTTTTCAAAATTCAGATTAAGTCTTATATTTAATATTTATATATATCTTATTTAACATTTGGGGAAATTGTAAATGGTTTGACTTGATCTAATTTTCCAAATTTTACCCCTTTTTCATTTTACTGTCACGATGCTAGGCACTATCCACTGGAGCCTCTGGTTTATAGAGCTGCAGGTTATACCATGGAACTACATACACACATCTTGGAATTGAGAGTTAGGGTTGGGCTGTTTCCAGAAGGATTTAGCTGCCCTGCACCTTCACCTGCTCCATAGCAGAGATATCACAATAGGAGATACCACTGTGAGTGAAACTCAGACATACAAGTACAGAAACACAGCTTTGTCTCTGTGCTTTATAAAAACCCCACTACCCAGATTTGGGGATTGATCATCCAGTTGCTGGGAACGGTATTACCACTTTAACCACAGTTGAGGTGTCCTATTTGTTATTTCAGTTCACTTCTTGCTTTTGGAATTGCTTGGCTTATAGCTCAGGTCACTGAATATCTGCTTTTTAGAAAAGATGTATTAGGATACTTATATGTGAAGCTTCTCCCCACCTCCCTCTCCATTTATTTGCCCTTCTTTTAGTTGGTATAATCCACAGTTGGTTGATCTTCAAAACCCTTTGAAAAGATGCTGTTTTCTGTTTCTCTGAAACTGACATATGGGTTTTACAGGGTGGGGGCTGGAGGAGTCATCAGCAGGTGTTAAAGTCACAGATATGGGATGGTGGTGATCCTGACAGTGAAGATACTAAGCAGCTTGAGGGTGTGGGTAACCACGTCAGCTTTCCTTTTCACCATATTGGGAGACCTCAAGAGGAAAGCCTAGTAGGACCCACTAGACTGGAGATGTGCTGGCAGATTTAAGACTGCTGTTTGAGAGCCTCTAATCTGGAGAGTTAGAGTTCAGTAGGATTCAAAGTGAGCCTCAGAGGAACATCCTTTTTCCTAGACCTGGATAGGACCCTCCAAATCCAGATGCTACCACAAAAAGTAAGGATGGATTAGATTTATCTATCTTTAAAGTTGTAGAGATAATAGTCTACCGTCTTCTTTAGGGGTTTCATTCCAGTATTTTCTCATATCCTTCACAAGTGAAATAACCAGATTGACAGATTGGAAACCCATTTTGTGGTCAGTCAACTAACATTAGCAAATCCAGTGTTGCTGATAGTATTTTGTCTTCTGTGCTAATCCTCAATTCCCAGAGGTCATTTTGGTGCCCTCGGAAACCATGGTCATTCCAAATGGTCAGCTTCCCTAATATTCAAGAGGCAGGGATGGTTGTTGAAGTCCCAGAGTTGTCATATGAACCCTTGATAAAGGAAATTAAGGTACTATGGACTCCATCCTTTAGTGTGAGCTGCCGGTGCAGTGAGTGGCAGGTATGCTTACATGTACCTGAAGCACTTTTGCATTGCCCACCTCCCAAGCGAGAAAGAGGGATTGGAGCTTTCTTCTTTGTACTTTTCAAGCTTCGTGCTGTTATTTTATGTCTTTTTGGTTACCACTTTTTGTTAAGTTTGCTTTCATCTAATTAAATCAGCTGGTAATCAGAATGTAAGAATGTTTCTGAAAGAGCCCATGCCACCTTCTTCGTGGGTTTACCTCCTCAAGGGAGACCAGAATCTAAGGATTGGTCTCAGATTGGTAAGGGAGCCACATCCGAGGATTTATGTGAGTATTGAGATGTGTAGTACAGTGTGAGACCTGTGGCATCATGATGTGATCCAGAACTTACTTGGTCTCCTTGGTCTCTCTAGACCAAGTGATGTAGAGCTCTTAGGCAAAGTAGGATCTTTGGGGTCTGGTTAAGTGCTTGAGTTTAGAAGCTTGGTCAGGTTAGTCACCTGGATTTGAATCTTCTCTTAATTCCCAGTTGTTAACCTTTTTGTGCCTCTGTATTCTTTTTTTTTTTTTTTTCCTTTTTAAGATTTTTATTTATTTTAGAGAGAGTGTGCATGTTTAAGATTTTATTTATTTAGAGAGAGTGTGCATGTTCTGAAACCAAGAATCAGATGCTTAACTGAGCCACCCCTGTACCTCTGTATTTTTGTGTGTATAATGGGTATAATAAAATTACTTATCTCACAGAATTGATTTGAGAAATAAATCCACTTCTCCAGTCATTTCTCCCCTTCTGCCCAGGATCTTGGTCAGACATGGACAATCTCTTGGGAAGGAGTAAATAGGAGATAAAAATGAATCTTTATCTGATGTTCTTGTCAATGCTTACTGGCATTGATTTGTACTGGTGTACAAAGCTGATTAAAATCAGAAGGATTGTATTCTGTTTCATACTTTGTTATTATTCATGTGATTTTAGACTGCTCACTTACCTTTTGAGCTTATCTTCCTCGTCTCTTTTTTTTTAAATTTTATTTATTTATTTGACAGAGATCACAAGTAGGCGGAGAGGCAGGCAGAGAGAAAGAGGGGGGAGCAGGCTCCCTGCGGAGCAGAGAGCCCGATGTGGGGCTCAATCCCAGCACCTTGGGATCCTGACCTGAGTCAAAGGCAGAGGCTTTAACCCACTGAGCCACCCAGGCTTCCCTATCTTCCTCAATTTTAAAATGGGAATAATGCTTCATCACTAGCCATTTTGTACACGTCCCCCTGCCTGGAAGTGTCTTTCTCCTTTCCGCCACCCCGTACTTATGTCAGGAACTCCTACACATCCTTCAGAAGCCTGCTGCATGTGATCTCCTGACCAAAGCCGCCTTTGGGGCAGGGCATCACCACCCCCATCCCTGGAGAGAAACTGTTAGGCTCTGGTACCGCTGGGGAGTTGTAATTCCTTGTCCTTACTCTAGCACATTTTATAGAAATTGTTCATTTATTTTCTCCCATTAGACTGCAAGCTCTTCCAGGTGGAATTCATTCTTTTTTTTTTTTTTTTCTTTTAACTATCCCATTGTCAGCATAATGCCTGGGACATAATAGGCCTTTAGAAAAATGCCGTTTCTCACTATGTTATCCTGAGGAGGATTTGAAATACTAGATGTGAAACCGTTTTGTAAATTTTACAGATAAACTAGAAGATAATAGTATTGTTGAAAGAAAACTACATGGGTTTGTGACAGGAAGTTCATTCCTTTCAAAATCACAGTGCCAATTGAGCTTATGTTTGAACTGATGCCAAAGTTGCCTCATTAGGAAAAGGATTAAATTTTTTAAATGCTGTGAGTGCTTATTATTAGGAGATTTGAATATTGTTACCTGACTGTACTCCATGAATATTGCTACTAATTGTTCCTGAGCATGGAAAAGAAAAATCTCATAATCATACCTGATACAGTAAGTGCTTTTGTCTGTCATGAAAGGTTTGAATTTTTTGGTAGTAAGGTATAAATCGAGACATTTTATTGATCACACAATAGAATTGAGAGGAAGAGATTAAAAAGTTTATTCATGCTAAGATATTTGAAATT